TCTGCCTGCTCCTCCCTGCTCCTCTCCCCTTACTAAAGGTCCGTGGCCAAAACTTGCACTCTTGTACTTTACTACAGACTCTGTCAAAAGCCTATTCTATCCTTTGGGAAAATCTCTTTAAACAGGTTTTCCTTGATTTTTATGATAAGTTACCAGTTAAAATCTACATTAAACTTTCACCATTAAAATGATACTGTAACATTCATAAGAAGGGTGGGCAGCTCATTATGTTAAGGGATTTATCTAGTAAATTCTTTTGCAGAGCAAACAGGGACCAGGCAGGGCTGAGGCCTCTCTTCTATTACATTAAATGCTTGAAGACACTGGAGAAATCCGTAAAGAGTTTTGAGAGGAAAATTTAGTAACTTCCAAATTCCTGGACAAAGTGTTATTCATGTGTGAAGATAATGGAAAGAGTTTCCAGATATGCAAATACTTAAAGTATGCAACTGTGGCGTATCTATTCAGAAAAAATGTTACCCAGAGCTGAGCTCAAATGTCATCAGAAGCTGTAACAATTTTTAAAAAGTCAGATTCCATAGTGAAGAAATAGAATGAAAGACTATAAGTAAAATTTGAAATTGTTTAAATATATAATTAAGTCAGTAAATTTACATGAAAGTTGCAAAGCACTATGAAAATGCCATAAGTAATTTTGAAAGATTAGAAGGCTTTAAAATGAGAAAAACAATAATAAGCACCTTTCAAAATCTTGTATTATACATGCAATAGAAAGTGGGAAAAGAGAAGGAATTTTCTTCTCTGAACTGAAGGGAATCAGTAGGTATTATTTCCTACTTGAGGTTGGTAAAGAGCTAAAGGACGTAGTTTTTTAAAATTAAAATTAAACTGTAATTGACTTAAAAACAATTTATGTCTTACAATTCCCTAAGAGAAATAGACAAACATAGCCCATATAACAAAAGCTAGGGAAAGAAATCAATGTACAATATGTAAAAGACAGAATAAAGCAAGATGGCATGTGGACAATAAATGTAAATTGGAAACTGGTTAAATGTAAAAAGACAAAGAACAGGAGCTTGTGTTATAAACTAGAAGTTAACTGTACTCTGTACACAAGAGCTCACTGAATACAAAGGAAGTTGGAAAAGTTCACGTTCAGAGGGTATGAAAACCTTTCAGACAAATGTGAGCTAAAAGAAAGTAGGTATCACAATATTAATATCAGAAGCTACAGAGTATTTCAGAGCATTAATCGTTAAAATCTATGAAAGAATTCCAAGCCAAAAGAATATTGTCTCAGTCGGGACTCTCCACTGGGCTCAGTTCCCAATGATCAAATCAATGCATTAGAGAAAATTCTGTGTCATGGCCAGAACTTACAGAGGGATGTCTCCCACCTAATATCGAGAGAAGCACGAGCATAAATGGTGGAAGCAAGGGCAGAGAGAGGAAGGTGCAGAGGGCTCACCAACAAGAGGTACTGAGCAGACGAGAAGATGTGGAATTCCTGCTGAAACTGTGTGTGAACGGTCTATTAAAACTAACACACAGGGGAAAATGAAACCAATGTGAGTAACTGCTCATCAAAAAGAATTACTGTATATTTCAGTAAGGTCGCAAGCAGCAGAACATCTTTAAAGTTCTGAAAAAAAAATCCTCAATTCTATATGCATTAAAAATATCCTTTTAAGATGAGGGTGAAATAAAGGTAAAACTAAAGGAATTTGTTACAGAAAGACCTGGACTACAATATATACTAAATTATGCACTTTGGGTTGAAGAGAAATAATACCAGATGCTAAACTGCATCTACAGGAATGTAAAAAGAGCACCAGAAGTAGTGAGTATGCGGGAAAATCAAAGACGGCTGACGATAATGATGGAGAGACAAGATGTGTGTCAGTAGCACAGAAGACAAGGGGAACATGGAACCGTGGCACTATACTGTGGCGAATTTCTTACATGGCTTATGATGGTATCATATTAATTTTAAGTAGGCTGTGATAAACTGTGGAAGAACTTTGTAATCCTTAGAGCATCTGCAAAATAGTAGAAAGAAATACAGAAAATCAACAAAGTAAATACTTGTTTCTTTGAAAAGATTAAATAATATTGATACAGATAGACCCTGAGAAGACTAATTAAGAAAAAGAAGAGACACAAATAACCAGCATCTGAAGTGACGAAGGTGATGCTGTCACAGAACCCATAGATAGTAAAAAGTACACTATAAGGAAAATTGTGAACTTTATGGCAATATACATATGATGACTTAAATGAAACAGATGGATTCTTTTAAAAAGAAAATTTACCAAAACTGACTCAGGAAAAAAATAGAAAATCTGAATAGTTTAAACTCTATTAAAGATATTTAATTAATATTCTTTCTCCAGAAAAGAAACCTCAGTTATATCAAATATTTAAGGAAAAAGTAATACCAATCTTACATAAACTCTTAAAAAAATAGAAGAGGGAGGAATGCTTCCTAATTCATTTTACGCATCCAGTATAATGCAAATACTAAAACGAGACAAAGGTATTATAGGAAAATGAAAATGCTGACCAATATCACTTATAAATATGAAACAAAAATCCTCAATTTAATATTAGCTAATAAAATCAGAAATACATGAAAAAGATAATACCGTATGAGTTCCCTCTAGGAATGGATAGCCAGTTTAATATTTGAAAAGCAATCAGTGCAATCTGTCACATTAACAGAATAAAGGGGAAGAGCTATCAGGTCATCTCAATGGACATAAATAAATTTGTCAAAATTCAATACCCATCCTTGATATTTTTTTCAAGCACAACAAACTAGGAATAGATTAAATCTTCTTCAGTCTGAAAAAGAATATTTCTGAAAAATGTACAGCTAATACTGTACTCAGTGGTGACACTCTGAATGCCTTCTGCCAAAGATCTGAAACAAGGCAAGGATATCCACACTCATCATTTTTACTCAACATTGTATTGGAGGTTGTAGCCAGTGAAATAAAGCAAGAAAAATAAAAAGACTGTATATGTATGTGTGTGTGTATATATATATATATATAGAGAGAGAGAGAGAGAGAGGATACAAAGAAGTCATTGTCTTTATTCACAAATAAATTTATTGTCTATGTAGAAAATCCTAAAAAAAAAAAAAGAGCAACTGGTACAACTGAGTAGCAAAGGTCACAGGAAACAAAGTCAATTTACTAAAATTATATTTCTCCTTTCCAAAGCAGCAAAAAAAATTGGAAAATGAAATTAAAACATACCATTTACAATTGCCCTAAAATAGAAAATATTTAGAGATATCTTTAACAAAATGTATGCAAAACTTGGACACTTAAAATGAGAAACAATGCTAAAAGAATTGAGAATCATTAAAGAAGACCTAAATAATGGAGAAATATGACTTGTTCCTGGTTTGGAAATAACAATATTGTTAAGATGTTCATTTCCCTCAAAATTGTTCATACATTCATCACAGTGACAAAATCACAACAGGCTCTTTTGGGTGGGTGTTTAGAAATTGACAGGTGATTCTAAAATTTAATGGAAATGAAGGAGCCCTGTAATAACCAAAAGAAACTTAAAAGATAAAAAATGCTGGGGGACTTAAAGTACCTGGTTTTGAGATTTATTTTATAGTGGCAACATTAAGGCAGGATGGTGTGGGTGTAAAAAAAGGACAACTAGATCTGTGGAATATTATAGAGTCCAGAAATGGACTGTCATACAGTCATTTGGTTCTGACAAGGTACCAAATCATTTCAGTGGGAATAAAAGGTCTTTTCAGTAAAGAATGCTGGAATAACTGGCTATTCCTATGGAAAACAGTGAGCCTTCACATCTTCTTCATACTATACATACAAGTTAATTTAAAATGGATTGTAGACTTAAGACATTAAAGGCAAAACTGTAAAGTTTATAGCAGAATATGTAGAATGTCTTTATGAATTTGTGGTAAGCAAAGATTTCTTTAAGATGATGCCAGAAAGCATTAACCATGCATAATTAATAATATGAATTCATCAGAATTAAATCTGCTCATAAAAAACACCATTAAAGGAAGCCGCAGACTAGGAGAAAATATTCACAATACTTTTACATCACCAAGGCATATCTGGAATTATTAGTTATTAATAATGAAGACCTTGAAATTTTAAAATGGGCAAAAGTCATGAAGAAACCTTCATAAAAGATACGAGATCATTCATCATCAGGAAAACACAAAATAAATGTGCAGTGAGATAGCACTTTGTATCCACTAGAATAGTTAATATTAAATGACTGTCAGCCACATATGCTGGTGAAGAGGTGAAGAAACTGAAGCTCTGATACTCACCGGTGGGGATGTAAAATGGTAAAACTAATTCAGAAAATATGTTTGAAGTCATACCTCTATCCTGTGACCCAGCAGTTTGACTCTGAGATATTTACCCAAGAGATGTCAAAACATACGTCCACAAAAAGGCTCTACCAGGTCAAGGAACACTTCCTGCATCTGCTGTTAGTATTGGTGGCTGATGGCTCACAGCTGCTCCCCCTCAAGAGAATTGTCCTCAGCTGATAGGTGCCACCTCATTCAAGAAGTTATACTCCCACTCCGAGAAGGGGTCAGCACAACTGATGACTGATACAAAGTACAGAAGGTCAGCCCCCTTGTCTCAAGGAGAATCCAAGATTTGACCTGTGACCTCATCCTTACTCTGCTTCCTCCCTCCCTTTTAGGTTTCTCCTGAGAGCACTCCTGAAATAAATTATCTGCACCAGAATCCAAGTATCAGGCTCTGCTTCTAGGGACTTAACCTGCAATAAGAGGTCACAGCTCTGAGAATTTCTTGTACGAGAATGTTTATAGAAGCTTTATTTGTGTAAACCAAAAACCGGGGATTTGTGGGATGGGAAGGACCCACAAATGTCCATTTACTGTAGAATGGGTAAACGAACTGTGGTATATCTTCGAATTTGAGTTCTATAAAATTTAATAGAGTAGGATTGGATTGGATTGGACTGGACTGAACTGAACTGAATTCCATTTACAGGATTGAATGCCCATCAGCCATCAAAATGAACAGACTGCTGACACATGGAACAGCATGGATGATTGTCAGAGACAAAAACCCTGCAGCAAAGCAGATTCATAGGATACAAGGTCAGTCCACGGCTGAGAAAAGTACCCATTCAGTGCCCCCCCAAAAAAAGCTTCTGTGGCCATCTCAATAGTTTTCACATCTGTTAGTGATTAAAAATGCACTGGTAAAATAAGAAGAGATGATACTGAATTCTTCTCTCTCCTTCCCTCCTGATGACTGTATATGTATCATTGTACTTGTGATTTGGATAAATTTTCAACTTTTTCTAGAGTAAATTTTCATCATGCACATTTAAAAATGTTTTTAATGAGGTATAGTTGATTTACAATGGTGAGTTATTTTCAGGTGTATAGCCAAGTGATTTGGTTACACATACATATATATGTATGTGTGTGTGTGTGTGTGTGTATATGTATATATACGCTTTTTTCCAATTCTTTTCCACTATAGGTTACTACAAGATACTGAATATAGTTCCCAGTGCCATACAGTAAATCCTTGTTATCTATGTTATATATAGTAGTGTATATCTGTTAGTCCTGTACTCCTAATTTATCCCTCCCCCTGCTTCCCCTTTGGTAACCGTAAGTTTGTTTCCTGTGTCTGAGTCTATTTCTGTTTTGTAAATAAGTTCATTTGTATCATATTTTAGATTCCATATATAAGTGATATCATATGACATTTGTCTTTCTCTGTCTGTCTTCCCTTAGTATGATGATAACCTTTAGGTCCATCCATGTTGCTGCAAATGGCATTATTTCATCCTTTCTTAAGTCTGAGTAATCTTCCATTGTATACACATACACCACGTCGTCTTTATCCATTCATCTGTTTATGGATACTAAGATTGCTTCCACATCTTGGCTGTTGTAAAAAGTACTTCTATGAAGATTGGGGTGCGTGTATCTTTTTCAAATGAAATTTCTCATCTTTTCCAGATATATACCCAGGAGTGGGATTGCTGAATCATATGGTAACTCCACTTTCAATTTTTTAAGGAATCTCCATACTGTTCTCCATAGTGGCTACACTAATTTGTATTCCCACCAGCGGTGTAAGAGGGTTCTCTTTTCACCACACTCTCTCCAGCATCTATTATTTGTAGACTTTGTGATGATGGCCATCCTGACGGGTGTGAAGTGATACCTCTTTGTGGTTTTCATTTGCAGTTCTCTAATAAATAGCAATGTTAAACATCTTTTCATGTATCTGTTGATCATCTGTATGTCATTTTTGGAGAATGTCTATTTAGGTCTTCTGCCCATTTTTTTGATTGGGTTGTTCGGATTTTTGCTTGTTTTTATTATTGAGTTATATGAGCTGTTTATATGTTTCGGAAATTAATCCCCTGTGAGTCGTATCATTTTCTTCCAGTCGGTAGGCTGTCTTTTTGTTTTGTTTATGGTTTCCTTTGCTATGCAAAAGCTTATACTTTTGATTAGGTCCCATTTGTTTTATTTTTGCTTTTATTTCTTCTACTTTGGGAGACTGATACAAGAAAATATTGCTACGATTTGTCAGAGAATGTTTTCCCTCTGTTCTAAGGTATCAAAACTTCTGTTTATGTCCTTAAGCCATTTGGAGTTTATTTTTGTGTATGGTGTGAGGGAGTGTTCTAACTCCATTGATTTCTATGTGGCTGTCCAGCTTTCTGGAACCATTTGGCGTAAGAAAATGTATGGATCTTTTTTCACACATCTGTTTCATTGAGCTTTAATTTCTTTTCTTTTTTTTAGTATGAATGTTCTACTTCCTAAGTCAATTATTTTAATCATTTTTTTCAAAATAGTATCCATTTTTTCAGATTTTAATATTTAAAATTTTCTCTACATTTTTTCCTGTGGTTACTTCTTTTTTTTTTTTTGTTCTTGATTAAAATAAGCAGAACTTTACCTATGTTATTTATTTTTAAAGAACCAGCCTTAAATTATTGATTTTATTTCCTCCTTTAAAACTTATTTTTCTAACTATATTAATTTCTTTGTCCTGAATTTGTGGTTACTGCCCAATTTCCGTCTTACTGACTTGATCATTTAATTTAGTTTTTCTTATTCTTTTTTGAAATGAAAGCATTTAATCTATAATTTGCCTCTGACTGGTTTTGACTAAATTCTGAGGTTTTATGTATAATGTTCTCAGTTTTGTTTTCACTTCAATGTTCTGTCATTGAAATTTTTATTACCTTCTTTGCACAATATTTGTAGGACAATGTTAGTTTCTTTTTTCCTCATTTCTGAGTAGTTTTTTTTTGCTGCGTTTGTTTTAAATTCTGTCAATTTCTAGTTTTATTGCAATGTAACCACATAAGATACCCTTTACATTCTTTTCCTTTTAGAAATCTTTGAAGGTTTTTTGTCTTGCAGATTATGATCAATTTTTAAGTTCCCCTTGGGACCTTGTAAAGAATATGTATTCTCTGTTGGTTAAAAAGCTTGACGTATCTAGTAAATCAACCTTACTTCTTTTATTATCCAATTATGCATGCTATGTCTACTTGACCAAATGTGGTATGTTAAAATCATCAACATTCATAGTTCTGTTAATGTTGTCTACACATACAAGAATTTTTACCTTATATATTGTGGAGACAGTTCATTTGATCGATAAAGTTTCATGCCATTATATCTTTACTGAGGTTGGTAATTATTACCAAACTGAAATGAATTATTTCCCCTTTAATGCATTTTGCCCTGCATGTAGTGTTAATTGTAACCTTATCACTTTGCTTTCCTTTTTGCTCAAACTTACCTAATATATGTTCTTATCTATAATATATATGTATGTGTGCGTGTGTGTATATGCATAGTGTGTGTGTGTAATTTTCTTTTGCATGATACTTTGTTTTAGGGGTGTGTTTCTTACATTCGTCATATGGCTGGGATTCTTTAAATTAATTTAAGTATGCTTGTGGTTTAAAAAAATGTTTTTTCGATTTCTAAATAATTTTAGATTTCAAAGAGGTTACAGAGGTTTCCTACACATTCTTCATCCAGTTTCCCTCATCTTACCTTCTTACATAACCATGGTCGGTATAGCTAAATTAACACTTCGTCAGGGCATCATCAGCTTTTCCAGTAATGGTCTTTCCTGTTTCTGCATCCAGTCCAGGACTGTACGTTACACCCATTTGTGTCTTGTTTGTCTTCCCCATCTATGAAGTTGCCTTCATCTTTCCTTGTTTTTCATGTCGGCACTTTTGAAGAGAACTGTTCAGGTATCTTATAGGACACCCTCAGTTTAGGTTCATCTCATGATTTCTGATGACTATCCTGGGGTAATGGATTTGGGGGGGGCGGGTAACACGGCAGGGACAGCCCCTGCTCACTGCATGTGTCAGGATGCCGTGGCGTCAGGAGGACACAGCAGGTGATACTGTGTTTGTCCACTTCCTGAAGATGGTGTCTGTCAGGTTTCTGCACTGTAAAATCATTATTTTTCCCTTTCTATATGCTATTTATCAGAAGCAATCACTAAATCCAGCTCAAATTCAAGGGGGGAGGGAAGTGAAGTCCCACCTCTCAGAGGGAGGGGTACCAGACAATTTGCAAACATATGTTAAAGCCACCTACAGTAATTAACAGATACAGTGGGACGAACTTGGGGGTTATGCAAACACCCTGTTTAAAATATCCTTGAAGCTTCATCCACTAATTTTCGCCTTCATCAGTGGATCTCGCCGGCAGCAATTATCACTTTGGTATTCTAATGGTGATGTTTTAATTCTCTCGTTCATCCTACATGTATTAATTGGGAATTCTTCTGTACGGAATATTCGTCCCTTCCCCTCTAATTACTGATTTACTTAATTGGCTCTTTATCTCAGTAAGCACTTGTGGATGTTTGTTTTACTCTTCAGGTTATAATCCAGCACTAAATGTTGTCATTATTTATTTTGCCATTGGAATCTCTTTGGGTTAACTCCCAGGACTTTCTGACCTGCTCTATCCATCTGTCCATCTGTCCATCCATCCACCCATCTATCCATCCATCTATTCATTAGCATTCACTGCTTTCCAGTGCTGCCTGACCCTTGAGGCTCATCTTATATTTTCTCTGTCTTAGCCTTAGAATCAGCGCCCCCTCCCACCCCTAACCTCTCTAACCATCAGGAAAATGCAGATCGAAACTGCAGTGAGCTGTTGCTCCTGCAGGTTTCAAGTGGTCCCTTAGTTGAAGAATGCAATTCCTTCTGAAAACCCCGATTGAAGCCAGGGAGCTAAATCTGCTGCTGCTGACATCATCAAGCCAAATTTCCACAAACTGGAGCTGATAACTGTGGCTAAAATTGGGGTAGCTGCGAATGAGGCATTACTGATGTTAGACAGAGGCAGTAAGTGGCCTTTAATCTTAGGAGTTCATGGAAAGCTGGCTGGTGTTTTGGCCTCATTACAGCAGCTGAGTCAAAACACTGGTTAGAAACCACTGGAGAGACATGCACTTCCACTCCCAGGCAGACACTGTGGAGACAGGATGGCCGTGTTTGTCCGTGTGAGCCTGTGTGTTCATGCTCTGGCACTGCCAAGCCCCGACAGCATCTGAGTCACCCCCTCGGACCCCTGCAGGTCATCTTTGTATACCAGCGCTCAGCTTCCTGGTCCTGACTCAGGAACCCAGCATGCACTGTGAATTCCAAGTTTGCAAAGGAGAGAGATGCTGGCAGGAGGTTATGATGGAGGCTGCTGGTTTTTGCAAAGGAGAGAGATGCTGGCAGGAGGTTATGATGGAGGCTGCTGGTTTCTATTTAGTTGCATGCCAGTGGATCATTCTAGAGCAGAAGGAGGGAGTGGGTAAGAGATCCATTGTGCACACGATGTAGCGTTTAATCCACAGCCTCAGGTCAGATAGGTCCTTCTCAGCTCCTTCAGTTTGAGGAACTCAGAGTATCCGAATTTCAGGTTCCTGAAAGCACATCTGGAAGATTTTATTGCCTTTGTTTATGACCCTGGTATGTGTCCCAGCAGGAGACTGCTTTGTTATCAGAACCTCTGGGTCTGGGTCCTGGAGCTTCTCTCTGAGGTCTGGGCAGATCCTTCCATTTCTTCAACTATAAAACAGGAAC